TACAGCCTATTTCCCTGGTAGACTTCACACAATTGAAGAAAAAATGAGTTCTGAAATGTAATGGAACATTCTAAGAATCCAAAAAAATAAATAAATAAATGTGTTGGTTTCCACACAAGACAGTTGTCAAACTGACACAGCCAAGGAGATTCTTCACTGGTTTCAGACAAAAGATTCAAAACTATGACAATGGCCCCGTCAGTCGATTGATTTGTATGCAGCTGGATTTATAAAAGGAAGTTAAGAACCAGAATGAATAGAAAGAACCCGAAGAACCATCAACATCTGAAGACAGTTAGTGTGAAAGTCTGAACAATGCATCCAACTAGTTTCTCCATACAGGAGACGTCTTCGAATGATGATAAACAAGAAAGAGTGTTCAATACTTATTATCTGTGTAGTATTATTTGTTTACCCATCTCTTCATTTGCACTCTAATTTGCATTGATTTATGTGTGTAATTCTTGAGCGATTTTACAAAAAAATAACTATGAAGAAAAATACTGAAATGCTGAGTGCTTATTTTACCCAGTTTTCCATCACATATACAGTCTGAGCTGCAGTGAAATAGTTTAGATTAAAGCCTCTTTTTGTGCTCAAATGGCCTAGTTAAAGTTCAGACCTATAACCAATTGAGATTGATGTAACATAAGCTCTAAAACTGACCAAGCATGTTTCCTTTTTACAAAGAATGGGCAAAATAAATCAATAAACAAAATAAAATAAAAATCAGTGTTATAGCTGAAGTTGTACTAAAAAACAACAAAATATCACTTTAGGAGGCTGGATATAAAATGCAACCCAAAATTATAAGAATTTATTAAATAAATAAATAAAACATACCTGGAGCGTTGCTATGATTCTTTCAGGCTTTGTTTGAGAAATTGTATCTCCCGTGGCAACCATTCAGCTGTGCAAAACACCTGGGTGGACTTAGCTCCGCCTCTCAGGATGGAGATCTTCTGAAGGTGGATGTTTAGAAAGAGAGTTTTTGAAAAGACAGAGGCACAATTTCAAGGTGTTATATAATGAAGTACTTTTTTTTTTAAGTCACATTTGATATACACAGAATTTTTATAACAACTGAAGGTAGCAGTTACATGATTGTTCTGTAAAATGTCACTTATGTGGCTGGAAAACACATACTGCTGCTCCTTTAAAGCAAAAAAAAAAAAAAAAAACCGCTAATCAGGTTCACTGGTACTGCCGCATTAAAAACAAAGTTGTGTGTTTATGAATAGATTCTTAAGATCTATTTGCAGTTCAGCTATATCTCCATTAGCCAGCAGAGCTGGCAACTGGTGGAAAAACAATGACACCACAACTAAAGAAACCTTGGAAGTATTTTTAGAGCGCTTTTAATCAAAGGCCTTTTACAAGAAACACAAAAACAACACGTAACAGGTTCACTGAATACATTATCTGTACAGCAAGAGGTTGCAAAAACATGCTTCACAAACATTTTTTCATGTCATTATCGCCCTCTGCCTTCTTCTCGTCACCATCGGTACAATGTACTCATTTCAAATCATCATAAAACCACAACAAAAAAACCAAAAAAACAACCTGCAGTCTCAACACATGAAAAAAAATACGACCATTAACAATGGCTCATTCAAACAAATAGCCTTACATTAAAAATAATTATGCATATTTCAAACACGTATTAAAATACAGTACAAATATGAAAAAAAACCCCTTAAAAAACAACAATCCGTAATTGAGTATTTTTGATTCATACATTAAAACGAGGATCCTTCAGTTTGTCCTATACATGCTGATCCAGCACTTGGAAATTACAACATGAATTTACAAAAAATTTCAAAAGGGGGGGGAAATTAAGGAGATTATATTTGGTTACATAACAGGCCACTAAGTTGAGTTGTGCTACCCCCGTATGAGAAGAAAAGCAACGCTTTCCAGACTAAACATCTACCAATTGCTAGTGTCACCACCACCTAAAAGAGAAGAAAGATACAGAACATGAGAAATATTTTGAAAATCATCCCTCCATGAAGAGAGAAAAGCTGTTTGTTTTTTTTTTAGTTCACAGCATGTTTGGAGTTAAATAAAAGATTAAAGGAGACAGACATCTTCATTCGTGGTTAAGGTAGTTAACTTATTTCTTCTCGTATAACGGAATAAATCCAACAGCGGTGTACTGGTGGTACAAAACAAACATACGGATACGACCTCTACATCTGTGCCTTCAAAATAAACATAAAAAAACAACACATCAGAAACAGTGTGAACTTCTTACAGTAATGAGATCCTTACAGTCACCAAGCTGAAGTCGCGACTATCTAACAGCTGTCCAAAGAGCCAAGCAAGAAGAGTGGGAGCACAGCTATAAGGCAACGCATGCGGACAAAGGTATAATACACAGAACCGAGTGGAGGACTGGGAAGGTCCGGGAAGAGCAGGAAGCACCATAGAAAAAGAATCTGAGAGTCCAAAAATATGATCACCGTCAGAGGTTCTTTTGCTTTAAAGAACAAGAAGAAGAGAGCGAGAAACATTTTGAATCGTGTGAGCGGAAAACTGTCCATCAAATAAAAAATATTTTGGATCATTTGGGACAAAAGTGGCAACACAAAGAAGTGAAATGAGTAAGTTTGAGTGAAATGAATGTTTGACGCTCAAACTCTTTCCACTTAATGAGCTAAATAAATATTTAAAGTTAAATAGCTAGCTACACTTTCTCCTTCATTCAGACAATTATTGATGGCAGATAACTATAGGGATGGACAATATATCAGCAAGAGCATCGGTATCGGCCGATATTAATCATTTTTCATTATTTCGGTGTCGGTCCAATATTAACAAGCATTACTTATTTCCTCTTGTTTGTCGAGGGAGATGAGTTTGGTCATGTGAGAGTTAATATCATATGTCAATACCGGTTCAAATTTTTATCGGCTCAAATTTTCATATTGATACATCCTCAGAGAAAAGTTACTCAAAGGTTGTTGCTAGGAAACCAAAGAGTGAGTGAGTTAGTTGATGCCACCAAAATTGCTAAGCTGGCTGTGAAATGTTGAGCAGCTAAAATCTTTGCTCTGCCTACATTACCCAGAATGCTGTGCCATTCTGGATCAGTTCAGTGAAATTATGTATGATGTATTATCTATTCATTATGATCACATGTATGTCGTAATATATATTTGTAATGGAAACGCAGCTACTATCATGAAACATGGGAAGACGGGTAAAGCTAAATACAGGGCGGTTCTGAAGGAAAGCCAGCTACAGGCTAGAAAACGAGGACAACAAGCCCCAATGTTCAGCCAAAACTACAACTGGACGGTTTAGGAAAGAAAATGCACAAGTTTTAAACGGTACCTAACACAGAATCCAAGACAAAACCTACGAAACGATGTGCAGAATCAGGCAGAGCTGGACAGAAATAGATGCTGACTCAGGGGAGAGTGAGTACTAAAGCCTGCTTCTTTTACCCCCCACATCACAATTATGTCATACTTTGTTTTAGTGTATTCCAAAAACATTAAGTTTGTGGTCTTAAAGGCAGAAAATGTGGAAAAACCTAACGGCCGCCTCTAATGTTCCACAGATGTGAAACATCGGGCCGTAAAAATCACAGAATCAGAAACAGTGGTTGGTTCGTGGAGCTGGTTGCTTCTGGACCTTCGTGGGTTGAGAGGCTAGGAGCGAATGAAGCAGCTGAAGAAGGAAGCTGTGAAGGTTTGGGAGAAACTGAAGCAAGAAGTACGAATTTTTACAAATTAAAAAGTTGGTTTTGCATTTAAACACGTTCCTACTCTGCGTTTGTACGCATGTGTGTAAGACAGAAGAGGGGGAAAAGAAAGGCCTCGAGAAGCGGATCGACTTCACTGAACGTGTTTTTCGATGCAGTCAAGTGCATTGCATTCACCTCGCTGTACTGACGCAGTCTTCAGAGTCTACGTGCAAAAAACACATCTCTTTGTTAAAACATCAGCTGGCTGACCCCCTGTCCGATCACGTCGGGCGGGGTCAAAAGCTTGACCAAACACCCCCTCGTGTTGCCGATGGCGACCTACATGGGAACGGAGAGTCCACGTTGGTAATGGGCAAACTCCTTTCACTTCCAGCAAGTGTGCTTGATGAGAGCAGATGGGTGAGGGATGCACTGTTAGGACAACTGGTATTTGCAACAAACAGGCAGCCCCATCTCCCCAGCATGTGTGTATCAAGTGAAAGAAAACAAATTCTGTTTTCTGGCATGTGTGTGGCGCCAGTTGGATGTAATATGGCAATCTAAATGGCAAGAAGGCATAGAAGCTGCCTCTTTCTTTTCTTTTTTTTTTTGAAAAAATATGTTTTCTTGTACTATTTTATGGCTGGGTGTTATTTAGTTACATTATATTTGAGGGTTTCCCCCAGTGTATTATAAGCCTGGCGGGCCACCAGGCTTTACTTGTCCCCCAACACCAGGGTAAGCGCTGCTCGTTCATTTTAAAAGGAGGTTTTTTTTATTAACACACCAATAACATTGATAACAAAGATGGGTTTATAGTTAAAGGGACAGTATTATGCGTTTCCAGGCTCACAGTGCCATATTATAGCACAATCAAGTAACTATGTTAACTACTTGTTAAAAGAAATTATATCAAATATGACTTAAAAGAAATTTTACTTTGTAATTTAGCACCTTGAAATTAGGCCTCTGTTGCTTTAAAAACTCCTTCAGGAAGTCATTACAACATAGTTCCTCTATTAACCTCTATTAACACTTTAACAACATTTTTACCACCACTGAGAAGTAGCTAGCACAATGAGCTCAGCAGATGTGCAGTTACACCAGGTGTTTGCTAACTGCTGGCTGGCTAGTCTGAAGGAGCTGAGTGAGAGAGACAGAAGCTTGGAAACTGCAGCTCAGAGGAGCTGCATCTCAAAGGCAGAGCTAGGTTCAGCCAGCCCTTTTACACAACTGAATGGTTGCCATGGAGATCAAAGGATATCTCATACGTGAATGAAAGAATCAAGGCAACATCCAGGTATGTTTTTGGTGAGGGAATATTATAACATGATGTAAAGCTCAAAAAAGTAGATTTTACATAAAACTGCCCCTTTAAAGCACTGAACTGGGTGCAAGGCAGAGATGGTGGACCAATCATCCTCGCACACTCTGGTGGTGCACCTCTGCATTTTTGTAATCGGCTAATTTTCCCTCAGAATTGTCTGTTTGGAAGGTGTTCTCGCAGAGCAGCTTCACCCTCTACGAAGGCTGTCTTTCCAGTGAGTACCGCACCAAAGTATACGTCAAGTGCAAAAGACTCGCCGCTTGCTCGACTCGCTCGACTCAACTCTCTGAAAGCGCAACTATAAAGGCTTAGTCTTGCTGTAAGAGGTTTGTGCTGAGCGAGCAGAGAGACTGATGTGAGAGCATATTTGTTTCCAGGCAACTTTTAACATTCGTTAACAAAAAAACATGATGGGCCGCTGGTGGACTGCCCTAGAGCACTGACCACTGGGTTCAGCAAGTTCTCTGGGGGAAACCCTGAATTTCATTGAGTATCTAACCAATGATGGCAAACCCTTTGTAGAGTGGGTAGAACAGGGCTGAAGTGGCAACACTGGCATGATATACTTTATATATATATATATATATATAGTTTTCTATCCCAAATGGCATCACAGTTTGTATTATTGGATCTCTTATGGCTTCGGGACGGAGGAGTCCTCGGACGCTGCGGCGGGAGGAGGAGTGGAGGCGTTTTCGATGCTAGCGGAAGGTGAGGCGGGCCCTGACGCCGGAGAGGGAAACTCTTTTATGGTGACGGTCACAAGGTTGGTGGTTACATCGGTGACCACCACGTCCTTGCAGCTTGGTGCCATTTCCGGGTGCCAGTCAGGGTCTCCCTCGGTGGGGACCCTTTTGGGTTCAAGGGGGGGCGAGGATTGTTCCGGAGCCACAGAAGAAACTGTGGAGGGAGCTTTGTGCTGGCAGGGACTTCTGGCTCCCTCAGAGGCTTCCGAGCAGTCCATGGCATCTTCATCTTGATCTTCCAAAGATGGAGACGGAGAGGGGGGGACTGGGGTTTTGTTTGCTTCTGAACATGAGGCATTTTGGGTTTCTGGAGATTTACTGGATTTTGACTCCTTGGAGGCTTCTGCGGCAGACTGAGGGCGTTTAGCTGTGACGTTGCTGGAGGTGGAGGAAGAAGAAGAGGAAGGAGGCGGTGCCTGGCGCTGTGAAGAACTGCTGTTGCTGTCCCTGGGTCCCGTAGTCGAGCTGGACCCCATTTGGGAGTGAAAGGACATGGGCCCGCCACACTGCAGCCCGAAAGGCTTCCCGTACATGGGGAAGCCCAGCATCTTTAAAGGAGGCTGGAAAGGTCTGTAGGGGGCCTCCCCCTTCCTGCCGATGATGCGATTGCGAGACGGGATGTTTTGGCGACCCGTCTGCACGTTCCTGGACCCCGCCGCACCGCCGCCCCTGCCTGGCTTGTCGATCACCTTCAGGTTGAGGATTATCCGCCCTCTCTTGACTTCTCGGGGTTTGACCCGGCGGTTCAGGATGCGGACGGTCTCAGAGAAAGGGGAGACGTGCATGCGGGACTGGAAGCCACTCGAGCTGGAAAAGGCGGGCCGCGTGGGGTCTGTGCGAGGCAGGGGCCGCCTGGACATCCGGTGGCAACGGTGAATGTCTTTCTTCAACTTGTGGGTGGCAGCGAGAGAGTTGAGTTTGGGGGAAGGTGCTGGCACCGACGACGAGGATGAGGAGGAGAATGGTAAAGCATTAGGAGCAGCAGAGGAGGAGGAAGATGATGAGGAGGAAGATGCTCGGCTGGAAGTGGTTGAGGAGGACCGAGCCGTGCTCTGCCGGCTGCTGGAGGCGCGACTGGTGGGCTCTGCTTTCTGACCGCGACCCTGAGGAAGACGACGAAGTTAGAAATCTTATAAAATTAAAAGAACAAGAGCTATTTAGCTGTATAAGATGGGCTGCAATTTTTAGTTAGTACATGTGGCGATATTAAGTTGTGTAGAAATATTCTATATTAATAAGTATTATGTAGGACATTCATTAGAATCAAAAGATTTCAGTAAACAGATGACCAGGGATTCACAACCACAACTGCCTGCAAACAGCTGAAATCCAAAAATACTTGAGACTCCCCCAAATAATTCATATAGCTGCATATTTTAATAGTTCAAACACCAAATATACCTTAATATGCATTAACAAGCACAGTGGAAACTGTTTTAGTACAATCTATGGTTTTTCCCATTCTTGGAGCAACAGCCAATCAATGGCAAGGAATCTGAACGGAGCTCCTGGATTGGCTGCTTTGCAAACACCAGAAAATAGCGTGACAAGTAGCATTGTGTCTAAATATTTCAGTTTTTCCAGCTGCATTTTATTTGTGGTTTATGAATGTGAGGAAACAGAATTGCTGCATAATCAATTTTCATCCAATTCAAAATAAAAGCATGAAATTAAACATCTAAATACGTGAGGAATTTTTAACAGCTGATAACCAAAACGTTGACACAGATTTTAAAATTCAATTAACTGAAAGTTTACAAAAAAGCCAAGTAAATTAGTGCTTCAAAATTCATCTAGAGAAAATCAATTCAGGGGGAAGCTAAATGTGCTAACAGTTTTAAAGCTATCAAAAATGTGAAAGAGCTAAATAAAAATGTAGCTCTTCTATTAGCAGAAGTGTGCCCAGCACTGACTGTATCTCGTTAATTATATTTTAAGATATCAGAAAATCCACCTTAGATCAAAACACTTTAGAAAAACATCATGATATCAATGATGATAATTATTGATTACAAAAAATACCAAATATCTATGGGTTTTTTTTTTTTTAAGAAAAAATATGTTTAATTAGCTTTGACTGAGCTGAGCGTGGTGTGGAGAAAAGAAGCAGCTAAGTGGGTCAAAGTTCCCGTCTGAGGAAGGCAGGCCTTGCTACCTAAACACAAACATGACACGAGATGTGTGTAATATCTGGCTTTTGCACCTTTCTGACAGCGCTGTTAATTCTCAGGCTGATTTCTAAAAAAAAAAAAAAAAAAAAAATGGGTGGGGGAAAAAAAAAGAGGGTCACCTCAAATGTTTTTCTGCCAGCTCCACCTTGTTTTCATCTCATTTAGTAATGACAGAACACGCTCTGATGCGAGAATCGAAAATAGACTTCAAAAGAACTCGATGGCCTGCTTGTAGACGCCACGCTCCAGTTTCCTGCAAGGGGCTGAAAAAAGGCAAAACTTGGATATTTTATTGTCTTTTACAGTTGAGAGGGAGCTTTCTAATCGCATAAACCTACATAATGGACATTTCTATTCATAAACATGAGCTGTGTAAAAAAAGCAAAAAGTAGAAGTCGCACCTTTGCCACAAAGTTTTTGGGTTTCGGCCCACGTTTTTTGGGACCATGCATTTCCCTCTCCCGTTCCCTACAAAAAGAAAAAAGAAAAAAAAAAAGAGAAAAATTAGTTAGAACTGAAAGAGAAGCAGGCAGATAGAGCACCAGAAGTCACATTTTAATTGGGCCTTGTTCTCATCCTCCCTTCTCTGTTCTCATGTCCATTTCTGTTTCCATTTGATGTGTCAGTTTTAGCTCTGACTGCTTGGGTTTCCTGTAAACATCTCTGAGAGCAACAAGGGCCTTTCAAGTGGCTCGGAAGGACACACAAATAGAAAGTTTCCTCAGATAAACTTGTCAGAAGCAGTGATGAAGAACAGAAAAGGCGAAACAGAAAAAGGCAAACACCAGTTTAAAGTACACGAATGAAAATAAAAACCTACTTTAACGTCTTTGTGGAAGACGCAGCGGTTTCATGAGTGACTAAGTAACGGTAACAGATTATCTGGCATGTTTCTCACTACGCCCACATGATGTCTACAAGAACAGTCTGGGGATGCCTCACCCTGCTCCGTTTCACCAAGCGTTCAAGCGAGAAGGCAAAGGCAGGTCTTCTCAGCAAGAATGTATAATCTGACACTTGTGTGTTTACTTGGAACGCCTTCTGATATCGAGGACTGGGAATGTCCCAAAAAGCCCCTTTCATCTTTGGAAACGGAGGATTAAACCCTGTTTTCCCCCCTATGTCCAGCTAAATTGAGATCATTAGTCAGAGAAGCAGGTGACTCTTTTTCTTCCGACAGGAAAGCTGGTCAGTGTTGATGGGAAGATGGAAGGAGCTAAAAATATGGCAATCCTGGGAGGAAAATCTACTTAGCAGCTTCAAAATACTTGAGACTGAGGTGGTTAAAGACCTTCTGACAGGAAGATGACCCTAAACATAGAACTAGAGCTACAACAGAGGCTTGATGCCTCATTTCTAGTGAGTGGCGCGACACGAGTCATGTGATTGGGTACGCCCCTTTGTCTCTCCATTACAACCGACCTGTCCCACACTGGGCCCCTTCAGTTGTAAGTCAGTAGCAAAGGTAGGGTTAAGGTGGAGCTACTGCCATCACACAACCACTGAAAGCGGATGTCCTCCACATATACAGCTAAAGTAAATGGGCAGAAATCGTGGTGTGTAGAGGCTACTGATTACACTACTTTGTTTTGGTATGTAACATAAAATCCCACTGAAACATAATGTTTGTGGTTGTAGCGAGGCAAAACGTGGAAAGGTCTATTTTTGTGGGGAACTTTATCCATCTTCCACGTCCTTGTGATGACAAGAGCGCGATTTTCTCTGCTTCCATCCGTTGGCACGGCAACGTCGGAGCTCCAATAATTTTATCGTAACAACATGATAAACAGGAGAACGCTGTACGATCTCATAAATATAACTAACTCTGCACACTCTCATCGCAGCGCAGTGATCAAACTGCAGTGGCTCCAGTAAGCTGGAGACAAGCTCCGCTCTGCAGAAGCAAAAGTCTGCACAGAGGTCGTTTCTGCCCACTGCGATAACCTTTGACAGAGAGTCTCTATGAAAAGCATGATGCACTCGTCTTTTCTGTTTTAATGCGTTTATTGACCTTTACGCAGACTTGCTCTCAGTCATGCTAATTCAGACATGCTATTCTGTGAAAATCAAAAGTTCTGTTACTTTGTTGTTCATTTCACTTTGCTTCTCGTTGGGAAACTCTTGTGTGAAACAAATATGAGGAACATGGACACTGGATACAAGACTTAAAACATATAAGTTAATTCAGTGCATGGATTTTGGTCCATATAAAATAGACGATTGGACAATATACATAAAAAAACAACAGCCTTATTAATATGTAATATAATAGCTTTTGTTTTATCTTTACTCTTTGTTGAATTCCCCTTGTTCATTTGATTAAAAAAATCTGACTACGTTGTTTACATAAGTTGCTTAAAATCACATTTATGCTACAGAGAAGAATGCATCCACTAATAAGAGTAGAGCATCCCTTTGTTTAATTTTTATAATAAGTTTTCATTACATCTACATCTCTTGTACATGAAATGACACCACCTTCTACTTTAATCCAAAATTTTGTTTCCCCTAATTTTGGAGCTAATCTTATTTTACACTTACAAAATTAATAAAAGAAGACATATGTGGAAAAAGTCAAAAGACTGTTTAAAAAAACGCAGAAATTAAGCAACTGGATTTACTCACTTTTGTTCGAAACCCAGAATGAGCCTGTCGTCCAGGATATTCTCCTCTGGCTCCCAGGTGCTGTGCCTAAGCAGCAAAGAAATAAAAAAAACATGAGATCATGCAGTCGACCAGAAATGGATTTAGCTCATTAGCAGCAGCACAGCAGAACGTGAAAGGATGCCAGATCTGAAGCACTTGGAGTAAAACACTCACTTCATTGCCCATCCCTTCCATTTCACCAGATATTCAAGTCTTCCCTGTAAGAGAAAATCACATGGATTATTTAAAAAAAAAAAAGAAAACAGTGACAAAATTTTTAAAAACTTTAAGCTTGACTTGGGAAACCTCTGCAAAAATATATGTGTCCACATATGTTACTGACTGCAAATTTTCCATTACCTGTCACTGTGAGTTTTAAAAGAACAAAACACTTTAATCCTCCTTCATCAGAGTTTTTGCATTTTTATTGAATGGAGTCTCTCCATTTAGAGAAAAAGAACATTCAGTCTTGATTCTTTGTTAAATCAGTGTTGTTTGTTGCATTGTCATAACAAAATCCAGCTAAAACAAGTCTGTTCTATTTTTTAAATCATCTTTATATTAAAAAAATACTGCTCAGTTCCACATAACTTTAGCCAAAGTTAATATTAACCCCCATAAAGGGTCTGAAGACCCACATGTGTCTCTAGATCTGCCGGTTGCAGCAGACCCCCCCTGCTCTGGAAGAAAGCTATGCATTAAAGCAGTGGTCCCC